CCCCCCCCCCCCCCCCCAACACCCTGGAGCACGTGTAAAAATGCCCCATTTGATTGGAGAAGTAGCACCTTATGAAGTAAAAGCACACAGTGCTCAGCTGAAACTCTCTTGTTCTGGCAAACTTAGCATGTTGTGGACCTCCTCAATGGGAATGCTCTGCATTCAGATATTTGTCAGAATTTCCTCTTCATCTTGCTGTGAAATACTATTTTTTCCATGATGTCTAAGATATTGTGCAGGTACCAACACTGGCTTAAGCTGCTTGTTTTCTAGCACAACATTTTGTTCCAGCTTTCTGGAAAGTTTTACTGATTTTCTTTTCTCTAAGGATAACTGTTTCTAACATTTCTGCTCCACTCATTGCCAATTTCCAAAAAATATGCTTAAATTTAAGGAAGATATACATGCCTGTGGGCTTTAATATACACCTGACTTTGACTCTAGATGTTGCTAAGACCTCTGGGAATTTTAAATATTATAATGTGGATCCTCTTGGATCACAATGTCTTTCTTAGTTTTATATATACCTGCAGTTTCGTAACTTCTGTTAAGTCTCTTGTGTGGATTGAGGGTTTAAGCTACTCTGAATACTAGAGAGAGAAATTTCAGAGCATACAGCTAAAGATGTGGGTGTACAATAAGAGTCCTGGGGATGTTAGAGCTGTCCTTAGACATGAAAGACCAGCACAATAGACCACTTTACTCATTTTGCATTTCTTTTGATTGTCTTTGAGAGAACCTTGTCAAAGCTGGTTGGTTTCCTCTAGCATTGTACTGATGATGATTACACAAATGTACTACTTGAGGGAATCTTGCACAGCTCCCTAGCCATATACAGTTCAGGACTGTCAATTGCTACCATCACTAATCCATTAATATTGCAGGTATTTCCTGTTGAGTGCTTCTGGAAATTGTGGTGAAATGGGAGCACGCGAGTTTTCTTTCTCACAACTGTCGTATGCTGCCTCATCTTAAACTGCCAAACATCAATATCTTCTGCGGATCTTAGACTGTTACACAACTCTATAAAGGGTTAGAGAAGAATGTGCTGCTGTGTAGATTGCAGACTCTGAGCGCGTTATGAATAATACTGTCTTTATTTCTACAGTGGGAGCCAAGAAGAAAGGTTTGCTCCCGGGTGGAACAGGGAATATCCTCCTTCCCTTGATAGTCTTGCTCAAGAAAGACACTCTGGCAACTTCTCTGGCAGAGAATCACTTCCTTTTGATATCCAGGCAGTCACAGGCCACCTGAATCCTCAGTTTGCCAGCAGAGAGGAAACTTCTTTCAGCTTTGGAGCTAGAGATGGACCACATAGTGACTTCAGAGGTGGGGAGGGGCATCATGATTTCAGGGGCAGAGATTTCCCACCATGTGACTTTCAAAACAGAGCTGATTCACAGCTGGACTTCAGAGGAAGGGAACCTCCCGCTTCTGAATTCAGGGGCAGGGAAATGTACTCAGGAGACTTCCGGCATAGGGAGGGGCTACATATGGACTTCAGGGGTGGAGAAATTCCTTCAATGGATTATAGAAATAGGGAGGCATTCCGTATGAATTACAGAGATAGGGAATCTCATACAATGGATTATAGGGGAAGAGATGAACCCCCATCAGATTTCAGGGGTAGGGGTTCATTTGATCTGGACTTCAGAGGTCGAGACGGATCTCATTCTGACTTTAGGGTAAGGGACATGTCTGAGTTAGACTACAGGGGCAGAGAGCATTCCTATTCAGATTTTAGAAATAGAGATGTACCCGATTCGGACTTAAGGTGCGTGGGCACATCTGATCTGGATTTCAGGAACAGGAATATACCACCTTCAGACTTCAGAAATAGGCACAGGTCCCGGTCTGATCAGGATTTTAGGGGCAGGGATGTTGCTGCTTCTATGGATTTCACAGACAGGGAGATGCTCCCTGTCAACCCAAGTCTTACAGATTTTAGGCAGAGTCAGTCTACGGTACCTTTAGCAGACAGAGAGCCCTCTGGTGCAAGTGGCAACAAGAGAGAGGAGTCTGCTACTCTAGACAGACCTTCGTTTGGTGGACAAAAAGGAGAGTTTCAGCCTTCCGAGCCAAGAGCCAGAGAAGAGGAATCCCTTGGACTGGGTCTTGAAACTGAAACTCCACTCGATTTCCAGAGTAGCCATGGGCCTGTTCCCACTCTTCAGGACCAGGATGAGGTGCCTCAGAACTTTGCTAACAAGCAGCAGCTTTCTGGGGGTGAGCAGCAAGGAGGCGAGTCTAGCCTTGAAGTAAAGGGAGACGGTGACTTGGATTTCCTTGGAAGGCAAGATACAGACTACAGAAACATCGAGTATGGAGATGTAGATCACCGGGTGGCTGGGGTTCAGCTGTTTGATTATGAGCATGGCAAGTCCTTTACAGAAGGAAAACCCAGCAAAGATTCTAGGCAAGACCTTCAGGTATGTGGTTTTACTGAAACTCTGAGCCATAACGCATCTTTTTTTTTTTCTTACTTTTTCCTTACATGCTTTAAAGAATGGGGGAAGTTTCTATTTATGTCCTGCGCTGACAGCTGTATACTACTTTTTCTACATTCTCTGAAAGCTGCTTCACTCTCCAGTTCTCTGCACCTACTCCCTTTCCATGAAACCTCTTTCTTGTCCATATTTAATTTAATTCAAAGTAATGTCAAAATAAATAAAAGAAGTTGGCTTTCAGTGTCTAAATGTCTAATGCTTATGGGGAGCACATAAAAGACAGACAACAAATAGCCTACCTTTCATTAACATTTTTTTTATTGTCCTATGATCTTTTCAGGATTTGGGACTCTTGGCAGTGACTGATTATTCTGAATTAGTTGGCATGTAGGCACATGTTTGCTCAGATTAGATTGAGACAATGACATTTTATCACATAATCTAAAATCCATTTGAAATGGATCTCCCTAAAGAGCTAGAGTAAGTTGCCCAGTTGGCTGCCTAAATCTAAAAAAATAACATTACTTTGAAAAGGTTGTCTGAGGAATTTTCATTATGGTCCTTGAGCAATTTTCATTGTGCTCCCTGTGTTAGAATTTTGCTCTGCGTTACTGTTCACTATTTTGTCTTTTGGACAAGTATGCCTTATTTTTCAAACCATCTTGATTTCTAACCTTAAGGACCAAGATTACAGGACCTGTCCCAAAGATGTAAAACCAAGCAAACTCATTCGGTTAGGAGGAGTGCCTGAATCTGCCACAAAGGATGATGTAAGTCATTGCTTTAATACTTCCAAAATCTATTTACCCATGTAGCAAAAGGAGTTTTACCTTCCTGTGTACTGCAGGTAGTTACTAGCATATTCAGAAACAAACTTACTCGTCTTCCCCCAAGAAAATCTTTATATCTTTTTAAACAGAACAAAACTAAAAAGCCCAAAATTACCAGTCTAAAATTTTCAGGTCTTTTGTTTCTAAGTGATATGCTGAGTACAGCTTACCTCATCTCCTCAGGTTTATTTTCCACATTTTCCTATCCAGGTTCGGAGATGATCAATAGTAATTATAATGGGTAGTTCTGATTTGACTGAGTGGTGTGTAGAGGTTACATACCTATTCTCTCACAGGTGGGGAAATGTAATTAATATTGGCTTGATAACTTAAACAATTTTGGTGGTCCCAAGGCATTAATTTCCCTTTCTGTCAAGGCTGCCTCCTTCATCAACATTTGTCTTAGTCATAAATGCAGTTAACGGCCAAGGGAGTGACAGGCTGCTCCACAGTGAATAGCTAGGAATTGCTAATATAGAGATGTCATTTTCTGTCTTGTACTGTATTTGATTGTAGTAAAAAAGCCAACACTGCTTCTATGAGGTGGCAGAAATTACCTCTATAAAGCTTTCAGTTTGTCCCATGGTATGTTTTACAGTTATTCCAAACACTGGACCTGTTATCTTTAACACTCTTTGCTTAGATCTTCAGTGATTGTCAGGTGATTACAGAGATCTGGCTACCTTGAAAATTTGTGAGAATTTTCTTTGCTGTAAGTTTCATCAGAGGCCCTATCAAGACCCAAACTGTCTCCAAAATGATGAGCAATCACTGATTTTAATAATGAAAAAGAAATGGTCAGGGGTGGATTGCAGTTCATTGAGGAGATTAAAACCAGCATAACACTATGTAACAAACCTTTTGCACTGTAGCTAAAACAGAATTCAGCTGTGTTCATCTTCGCAAAGCAGGTCGCAGATTTGAAGGGGACTTGGGAGATCATGTCCAAGAACACTTGTCCAAAACTAATAGAAATCTTAGAATGTGTTTAGGTAGTACTGCATTGTAAATATGTTGCCTTTCCAGAACAATCTATATTTTGGTATTTGTTTTTGAATGATGCAGATTTTTGGGGCTTTTTTCCTATAGATTCTCAGTGCTTTCCGGGGACCTGATGGAACGCGTGTGAAAGGCCTGCGCCTGAAAGATTACTGTTCAGGTGAGTGTGTGGACTTTTTCAACACTTACAAGACTGGTGCTCACTTAGATTTTCTTTTTTCTTTTTCTTTTTTTAACTCCTTGATGTCATAACCACACAAACATTTTAAATCTACAGTACCTATTGAGTCATATAGTGTGTCCCCTTGCTACCTTCAGGATTGATGGCATCAGTCACAGGTGTGGTAGTTCTGAGGTTAAGCACCTGTGCTAGTTCCACAGTAGCCATGGGGGCTAGACTGGGAGTGACAAAGTGCACCAAGGCTGTTCTGATGGACCTTTTCACAATTAAAATAACTTTTCACACCAGGTAGTGTTGTCTAATAAAACTAGTTATTGGGCAGTATTTTTTCCTGTTCATGAGGCATTGGCCTCTGGAAAAAATTCTCTGCAAATAGTACTCTTCTCAGAAGACCTTGTAACATTGATGGATACAGCTGTTACATCTCATAGATGTGAAACTTGGGACAAAACCTAACTTTTTTAATCACTCTAAGTACTGGGTCAGGATCTATTTCCTCATCTCTACCTATCTGTCTTGGTTCACATTGCTTTGCTTCTCACTTGTATTCAGAGGAGTTTTGCACAGGAAATCTTTTATAAGGTTCCTTTCTAGGGAACTGCCTGGCTGAATCTGCCTGCCTGCCTGCCTGCCCAGACCAGCGGAGCAGGAGCAGGAGTGAGAGAAGGAGCTGCCGCTGGAGATGAGGGGAACAGAGCAGCACCTAGCCAGCTGCAGCTGCACCAGGAACAGCCCTGCCAGATGCTGCACACACTGGCTGGTGCCCAGGCCAGCGGGGCTGTCCTGCTACCCTTGCTTCCAGCTGCAGCTGCTGCTGCCACGCTGCTCTGGGTAGGTGTGCCCAGCATATGGAGCTCTGGCTCTAGCTCCTGTTTGCCTTCCACCCACTCCTCCCACCTGGCATAAGCAGCGACCTGTGAATGGGTGGAAAGCAGCTGGGACCAGGAGCTGGAGCCCCACATGCTGTGCAGGATCTGTCTAGCTGAAGCTTCCCCCAGGCCTGCCTGGATCATCATGGGAGCAGCAGCTACAGCTGGAAGTGAGGGGAACAGAACAGCCCTGTCAGCCTGGGTCCCAACTGGTGCATGCAGCTTCCAGTGGGGCTGTTCCTGGTATGGCTGCAGCTGGCTGGGTGCTGTTCTGCCCTTGCCTTCCAGTGACAATGTGAGCCCAGCCGCATTGGAAACAGCCCCGCCAGAAGCTGTGTCTGGCTGGAGCTGGAGGTTGTGGGCAGGAGCATGGCACAGGCTGTCCCAAGCAGGGGATGGCCTCGTGTGGAGTGCAGCTGCCTACTGGGTGATCTTTGTTGCATGTGCCTCCCACCTCCCTTTCCCTCCCCTCACCCCTGGCTGGCTCCCAGGCAGCACCTCCACACATGCATGTGCCCCCTCCATGCACTCCTGCCATATCCCCCCTCCCTGCCAACAGGGCAAGGTGTGTAGGGAGCTGATCACATCTGTCCTGCTCCCTGCCCACCCAAAGCCCCACAGGGAGTTTGAGTTGTGGTGGGGGTGGGGGTGCTGATCAAGCCAGTGACTGCATCAAAACTGTACATGTGGTCCTTGGGGCCCAAATAATTGCCCACCCCTGTGTTAAAATCATCCTAGCAGGGGTGGTCTGTAACTAGCGGGGGTGGTCATTGTAACCCTGAAAAAGGTAAAAGTTTCTGTTCTTGCTACTGCATTGTTTTATTACGAGTCTAGGTTGTTTACTAAGCACTTTGAGTCCTTGGGGTCAATTCCTTACTTATTTGCAGTTAAGTTCTAGGGGTGCACCAATAAAGATTTTTTTGGCTGATACCAGTGGCTTATTATTAAACAGCCATATTGGCTTATACCATCTGATAGCCCACGTGTAGCCTGGCAACTTGGAAACAAGTGTCCGGCTGGTAAATCTGTTGGGGCAAAGGTTGTGAGGGGGTGGGGGGGCACAGATAGAGGCACTGTCGATAGGAGGGAGTGGGAGTGGGATTGGGGCTGGGGCAGGAGCAGGTGCTGCCCAGCCAGTGTGGGGTGGACCTGCAGGCAGCTCATCTTGGGGGGAGTGGGGAGGAGGGACACCTCCCAGCTGCTGTGCACACCCCTGAGGGAGCCATGGGGGGCATGTGCCTTCTGGATTTGTGTGCGGGGCTAGGTTGGACTGCCTGCTATGGGCTCTGGGCCAGGGGCTGTGCCAGCCTTTTCCCGGTGGGGGCTGGGCTGGGCTGGGGCTGCATTCAG